GTGCCTTGGGCCTTGACCCCCTTTTTTTAAAGCTTATTTTCTGGGGGGGGGGCAGGGCCTCAGCAGGCCACAAAGAACCTAGAAATGTGCCCCCCTCAGGCACTGTATTTTTAACTGTCCTGTCTTGTCCATCTTAGAGTGCGGTTACACCAGGGATAAAAGCTATATTTGACACATTGGCACATTTTAAGTCATTTTTTTAAAGGTGACTACATGATGCACATGGAAGCATGGCTTGTTTTGACAGGGAATAGTGTGTTTTGATTGGAAGTGGAATATTTTATTCTTCTCCCAGAGAATCATTTCTTTTAACTCAGATGTCCAATTGATTTATTTTGAATCATTTCTGGCCTGCGCTGAACGTCTCTGTCAGTTTAAATTGTAATTCCTGTCTTTCTTTTCTAGCGCTATGACTTTAAACTAAATTTTTAAACCCCTGATCCCCCATCTAAGTTACTTTAATAGTGTGACCACACTCTGAGATGTTTTCGCTGTTATTCTCATTCTGTTTGAAAACATTACACGCAGCCTTTCCAGACCAGGTCTGCCCAAATGTTTTAGGCTACAGCTCCCAGCAGCCACAGCAAGCATGGCCAAATAGTTAAAGGATAATGGAAGTTGTAGTAACAGGATTCAGTTTTCACAGTTGTATAAACGCAGCAGATTTGAAATCCAGCTGTGTGGGGAGTTGCAGTCAAAGAACATCTAGGCTAAACAAGATTGAGAACCACGTCTCCACCTAGAAAATGCTAAAAAGTTGTCACAGGTCAAAATGGACGTGATGGCATATGACGAATCCATCGGATAGACATGTTATGGGGATAGTACAGTGGGAAGAGCCGAGCCCATGCATCTCGTCTCCAACTTCTGGGAGGAAGGAAGGGAGGGAATGACACTCTTAACAGAGAGAGATTTCTAACCAGCCTGCTGTTTTCTCCCACAAAGGTAGCGGAAGGAATGGCCTTCCTGGAGAAGAAGAATTATATCCATCGTGACTTGAGAGCAGCCAACATCTTGGTCTCGGAAACGCTGTGCTGCAAGATTGCCGATTTTGGCCTCGCCCGGCTGATAGAGGATGATGAGTACACAGCTCAAGAGGGTGGGTCTTCCTCCTTTATGAAAATAGGGATGTGTGCTGTGCTGTACTGAAAAGTGTTCTACTTATATGCTCCCTGTTGCGCTTGAAGCACTCTCTGGACAGTTTGCAATTCAATTACGCAGGTTACCCCTTGTCGTCGCCCCCTCCCCAACGAGCTGGGTACTCAATTTACCAACCTCAGAAGGAGGGAAAGCAACCTTGACCCAGCTACCTGAGATTGAATCTGGGTTGTGAGCAGAGTTTTGGCTGCAGTACTGCAGTTCAATCCCTGCACCAGGAAAAGATTAGCAAGGCTAATATCTTGCTGAAGGTTTGCATGCCTAAAGTCTGTTTGCATTTGCATCCTCATGGGAAATTGGAAGGCGATTCTTCCCCATGAGGAGCTCAGTGGTCCAGCTGATGCCCTTTTCCTGCTGGCTCTGTATCCCTTCTCCCCCCAACCGAAGCAGTGAGAGAAGCATCAACACACACAGCCTTCCCCTCCTCCTAGCCAGGCAATAGCCTCAGCTGCCCTGGTGTGTGGCTTTTGCTTGACACATCAACCCGTTTCTCTTGAGGAAATGGGAGCCCACAGGCAGGCAGGGGAGGTAAGGGGGCTGTGTTTTGTGTGCAAAGGGAGAAATGCAGGAAGACTCCATTGCTGTACGTGGGGTCCATCACAGACCTGTGGTTTTTGAGCTGCCGTGTGCAACTACATGACGATGGCAGGGAAGGAGGAAGCGATCTCCCTCTTTCTGGGAAGCGGCTGGTTTGTTTTCTCCTGGACACCAGGCCGTTCATGGCAGTCAAAATAATCAGCTCTTCGAGATGGTCCAAGATGCAGCCAGCAAAGATCTGATGAAATGATTTCCGGCGAGGCTCATTCACACCGTTCTCTACAAACCTCTTCACACGACAGCCGCTGTAGCTTCATGTGCTCTTCCTGTTCCTGCTGCGCAAGGAGGGAGCGGGGGAGTTATGGCTTTCTTTTTCATAAACAAAATACCACCTACCTTTACACGTCTCTGAACCATTTGACCCCATAACAATTTTTACCCATTAAGGATACACATCTACGTGAGAGGGTAGGCAGAGGTACGGAGACAGCTTTCCAACATTAAAGAGGCCCACCATCTCTTAAAAATTAGCAATCGTTTGATGGCATAGAAATCACTTTTTAAGATTGTTTGAATGAAGAACATTAAAAAATCCTAAAGGTTAGGATTTTGCTGAATCTGGAAAGGACTTTAACATGGGGACCGTCCCTCTGGACACCCCACTGCCGGTGGCTTTCCCATGATGCGCAAAACTGATGTTTTTCTCTGGGCAAAAAAAGAGGATTTGCTTGAATCTTGCTGCCAGCATGGTGATCTTTTCCCCATAAGCCTGGGCTTCTCAGGGTGTGCTCAAAATAAGACAATCTGGTGGAGGCAGAGCTCCTTCTTGTGGCCAGAAGACGGGGAGAGAGAGCGAAGGTCTCTGCGGAGCTGCCAGTGGCCTGTTGTGAGGTCAAAGCTCACAAACAGGATAGAAAGAGGGCAAGACCCTCTTGCTTGCTTTCCAAAACAACTCGTGTACAGAAGGACCATCCCCTCCTCAGGGCTGGAAGGATGAGGATTATCTTGTTTCCGAAGTGAGCTGCTAGCTGTTTTCAGGAAACAGCTTAATAGCTGGACTGCTTACCTGTACTTGTTAGTTGTTGGTGATATGTTAATTCTCAGCTGCCTATATAACAATCCCCTCTAAAAGCAAAAATTTTTTTGCAAGTAATAAGTAAATCTTTATTATTCAAAAATATTGCTTCAAAGAGGGAGGTGTTACACTTTTACAAAGCAGTGTTAGTAGACATTAAATTGTCTTTAAAAATAATGCTGTACTGTAGTAGCTTTCTCACAGCCTGCAACACCTTACAGTTCCTGGTTGTTACTCGTTATGCCTCATTTCCGAGCTCTGCCAAACTTTGGTAAATTCATCCCAAACTCTTTGAAGGCTGTCAAAGGAAGTGGATATTAGCACATCCTGTTGCAGTTTTAATTCCTGTTTCAATTCCATGTACTGTGAAGCAACTCCTTTTATAGATGTTCAGACATCCACTGATTCTGTTTTACTAGGTATTAATGAGAGAGGTATCTATCTACCTTTGTCCATTCTGAGCATAATCCCATACACCCCTTTTTGCCGCTGCTTCTTCTTTTTAAAATCTAAATAGTTCCATTTTTCCAAAGTGCAATATCCTTTCTCAGTAGACGGTGCCATTTTATACCATCAAGAGCAATATTTATATTCTGCACCATGGACATGATCCTGCTCTGTTTGTGTCTTTCAGGAGCAAAGTTTCCCATTAAATGGACAGCCCCAGAGGCTATTAATTATGGGACATTTACCATCAAATCAGATGTTTGGTCATTTGGAATCCTGTTGACCGAGATCATCACCTACGGCCGGATCCCTTACCCAGGTGAGGGTCTCTGAGCAGCAGAACACAAAGGGGTTCCAAACGGTAGGAAATAATCTGTCTTTTCAGAGGAAACTGGACCCCTAATGTTTCAAAATTAAATAAAATCTGCCAGCAAAAAAGCCCCAAAAAACTCACCCAGTCTTATGTACATAAACGAAATGTAGAAGCAATCATTTCATTGAAACACCTTAAAAGCATTTCTATAAAAATGGGAAAATAAAATAATATAAACTGAAAAACAACCAAACAATGAATGGGGTTCCCTTTATTTTAGAACACTGTGGTGGTATTTCCCCCTTTAGCTTAGATCTTATAGTATTCCTATTTTTATTTACATTTTAAATAAAAACCAGGAGGAAGAAGGTTTAAGCCTCCTTCATGCATCTGCACTGTTTCCAGTACTGGATCGGGGTGGGGTGGGGGGCTGTCAATGTATTTTTGAATTTTGAGTTTAAAAAATGAAGGAGAGCGACCTCAAGCTCATTGTTTCAAAACGGTATGTCCATTTCCCCTCTCACACTTTTCTTATTTCCCCGATCGAGAAAGGCTGAACAGAAGAATCTTATACATAAGATTCTTGCAATACTGCCAAACTGGGAGTGACACACCGACACTCCTGAGAGAAGGGAAACCCACAGCCTGTTACTACTGTGGTCCATACAGTCGTGTTTTTTTATATACAGTATAACAGTGTAACTCTCCAACAGGATTCTGGCATTTGTTGTGAAAAACAATTCTCTTTTATAAAACGAAGAGACCCACAAACGTCTCTCTGGCTGGAGATGGCTGCCGATCAGCATCTCTGCTTCCTACGTATCCCATAAAAGTGTGAAGGGTAACACAAAAAGGAGCTTCTGCTGATCTTCCCATCTGTCATTTTAAGTTAAGAAGTCCCAAGACAGGACTCTTTTTTTAATATTGGGAAGAGCCATTCCCCTGAAGGGGATGAGATCTCAGACCCTTTTCTAAAATGGCTCTCTGTCGCATCCCCTTAGGAATGAGCAACCCAGAAGTCATACAGAATTTGGAGCGCGGCTACCGCATGCCGCCACCGGAAAACTGTCCAGAGGAGCTGTATAAACTGATGCTGCAGTGCTGGAAGGACAGTCCAGAGCAACGGCCAACGTTTGAGTTCCTGAAAGGGGTCCTGGAAGACTTTTTCACAGCCACCGAAGGGCAATACGAGCAACAGGTGTGAGGAAGGTGACGGCTGGCTGGCGAACGATGGGACCCCCTGGATCATTCCTTGGCCACGGCTTAACAAGGAGCCCCATCGTCCCCTAAAGGCGCCCAATGCATCCAGAGACCTTTTGAGAGTGGGAACTTTTTTTCCACTCCTTTATCCCAAATGTCTGTTGGGTATAGAATAGGGACTGCTGCTGGTATTTACGTGAAATTGTTATTGTTCATTCTACTAGAGATACAAATTTCAGGACTGAGATTTCTGAGCCCCGGGATCAAGATAAGCCCTTACTTGTACCCTTTTGATGTTTGACGTATAAGAAATGGAAAAAGAGTTTCAACAGGCATGGAAGGCATCTTCTGTGGTTAGAACACCCATCCTCTTGTCTCTCAGCTCTGGTGGTTTCTCAGCGGACTCTATAGAGTTATTTTGTCGTTGACTTGCGTTGTCTGTAAAGTGTATCAATGATGGTGTATAAAAATGTTCAACAGCCCAAAGCACCAATTAGTGACAAGGTACTTTGTTTGTGCTCAGGAGCACTTGCTTCTTGTAAACTGCAATGTGCCGATTCTCGGAGCGGAGTGCGGGCCGGGGAGACAAGAGTCCCTCAGGCAGAGGTGGCGAAAAGTTCCTCTCCGGAAAGGAACTTTTTCTCATCCCTGATCTTGGCTGAGCTCCGTCCAAGCCTTCTCGTTTTGTAGAAATAAGGCACAGAAAGCATGCCGGCGGTGTGTGTAGTGCACTGATCCACAATGTACCAGTGGGGAGGTGATTCAAAGGCTGCTCCCGGGGAATTCGTAATTTGGCTCATGCAAAACAAGAGGAAGACAGACAAAGAGTTTGCTGAGCAAGCCTAGGAATGAACCAGGGTGTGGGAAGGGAGGGAAATTTTGGGTGGAGAAGGAAGTAATTTCTCAAGGGATCAGGCGAAAGGAGGGGGAAAGTGCAAACGCTCTGGCATCGCAGACCTGTGCTAGCACAGATCTTGCACAGAACCAGGGAGATGGCCAGACAGCTCCATAGTTTTCCGCGCTCTCTGTGGCCTTTTCCCTGCGGACACTTTTGTGGACTAACTAGGGGTTTTATAGATCAGGGCCTCATCCTTCCATAAACTTCCCAGCAGGGCAAGGCAACCAAAGCAGCCGTCCAGCTGCATGCAGTGTGTGTGTATGTGCGTGCATGCTTCTGCGCCCACGTCCATGGATCACAGCAATCCCCTCCCTCTCAGATCCATGGAGGAAACAACATTTTGGGTCTCACAGGCAGAGGGGCCCAGCTTTACAGGGATGCAGGCTGTGGTTAGGATCCTGCCTATTGGGGTCCTGAGGAGCTGAGGGAGGGGACGGTGAGACGCAGGAGTGGGACACAGATGTTCAGTTTTTAAAAAGTCCCACAGGGTTTTGGTTTGGGGGGGGACACCTAGCAAAATTAGTTAAAATAAACGTAAAGCCCAATTTGCACCTAAAAGACCTGGGGAAATCAATGCAGGCTTGGTTGTGTGTTGTGAACTTCTGCTAGACCTGAACGTTTTGCACCTCAGGTTTAGCAACGTGTGTCTCATCATTGAACTTTTTGGAGGGGGGCTAAAGTGAAATCTTGGGGATCATCAGCGCTTGGGCTCCCCCGCCAGCGGAATGGTACATTCCCCCTTGAAACGCCTCCTGCGCTGTGGGACGGCGGTCCGAAAGCCCAATTTGCACCTAAAAGACCTGGGAAAATCAATGCAGCTTGGTTGTGTGTTGTCAACTTCTGCTAGACCTGAACGTTTTGCAGCTCAGGTTTAGCAACGTGTGTCTCATCACTGAACTTTTTGGAGGGGGGGGCTAAACTGGAATCTTGGGGATCATCAGCGCTTGGACTCCCCCGCCAGCGGAATGGTACATTCCGCCTTGAAATGCCGCCTGCGCTGTGGGGCGGCGGTCCGGCCGGAACCCCTCTTTTTTGGGGGGGGGGCGATTCTTCAGGTGTACTCCCCCGCTTATGGGGAAATGGTACAATCCCACCCACAACATCTCTCCCCCCCCGTAATTTCTCTCATGGGACAAAATGGTTCATCCCAAGCATCTCCTCGCCGCTCGATCTAACATGCTGCTTCGGAAAGCTCCGCCTCCTCTAGGTTCTCATTGGCCAACCCCTCTTTTTTGGGGGGGGGGCGATTCTTCAGGTGTACTCCCCCGCTTATGGGGAAATGGTACAATCCCACCCACAACATCTCTCCCCCCCCGTAATTTCTCTCATGGGACAAAATGGTTCATCCCAAGCATCTCCTCGCCGCTCGATCTAACATGCTGCTTCGGAAAGCTCCGCCTCCTCTAGGTTCTCATTGGCCAACTTTGGAGACGCTCCACTTGCGGTTGGCTGGAGGGGTCAGAGGGGGCGGGGCCGGAGGCGAAGGCGGCCCTCTCGTGACTCCGGCTCGGTTGCGTGGCGGGACTCGGTCCGGGACGGCGGCGGCGGCGGCGGCGGGAGCGGAAAATGGCGCTGACTCAGGGGACCAAGCGGAAAGTCTGCTAGGGAGGGGGCGAGGATGAGGATGGAGGGGGACCGAAAGGGAGGAAGGCTCGGGGAGGGAGAGGAGGGGGAAGAGGGAGGGGGCCGGTGAGGAGGATGAGGATGATGGTGATGATGAAGAAGTTGAAATGAGTGCCTACGGAGAGGAGGAGGAAGATGAAGAAGTTGAAAAGAGTGATGATGGGAGGAGGAGGAAGTGGGGAGCGAGTGCATGTGGGGAGGATGATGAGGATGATGATGATGAGATGAGGGCGCGTTGGGGGGTAGGTGGAGAAGAGGAGGAGGAGGAAGTCGTAGAAATGAGGGTGCCCGGTGGGGATGATGATGATGATGATGATGGGGACAGGGATGGGGATGCTGCTGCAGCTGCCGCCACGGAGGAGGTACAGGAGGGAGAGCGGGGGCGTCCCCCTCTCCAGCCCTGAGAGAGGGAGGGAGGGAGGGGGCGGGTCAGCTGGAGGGGGGGCTGTGGAAGAAGGGGGGGCTCCCCGTTCAGGAGAGGCCCTTTGGCCATGGCTGGCAGGAGGGTTTCCCGCCCTCGGCTCACAACAACCCTGCAGAGTGGGCTGCGGCAGAAAGGGCAGCTGGAAGAGGGGAGAGAGGGAGGCTGCCCAAGGGCCGGAGGGGGGCACCAAGGCTGGGTCGACTGGGCAAGATGGGGGGGTGGGGGGGGGAAGAGCCTGGCGCTCCTCCTCCTCCCTTCCAGATCCCAGGCAAGCCTCTCCAAGATCTGGAGGAGGAGAAGGAGCCTCCTGGCCCGGCCCGGCCCGTGGGTGGTGGGGGCAGCATGGCCAAAGGAAGGAAGGAAGGAGAAAGAAGGCGAGAGGTTAGGGCCAGAGCAGGGAAGGGGTTTGCCGTGCAGGCGATGCAGGAGGGGCAGCGGGGGGGTGTGTGCCAGGGGGAAAAAAAAGAACAGCCTCTGTGGGTGTGTGGGTGAGGATTCTGTTGGAGAGGGAGAAGGGAGAAGCCTCTCAGGGTGGCAGGACCACCGTCCCAGAGGGGTTTTAGGAGAAGAAGAGATGTTTACAAACATTGGGGGGGTGTTGCAGGGGGAGAACAGGCAGACGGTTTTGGGCAGCCTGAAAAGGCGGGACGTTGGTTTGAGGGTCTTCTTTTTATGGAAAGGGAGAAAGGGGCACTTGTGGAGTTTTTGTTTTGTTTTTTTGCCCCTGCTGCCGAAATAACATGACGGATCTTATACCTTGTGCCTGTTCAAGGGACGGGAGGGCACCGTCTCCCAAATCCTTTGGGTTGCCCCTTTCCTTAAATATTGCAGCCTGCTGCCCTTCTTGAGGTGGGGGAGCCTGGCGTAAAGTGCATGGCACTCATCTCCACATGATTGTGCACCAGGAAACTCTGCGACGCCCACCACCAGTGTGACTACGGCTTAGAATAGGAACCCGCTCTCAGTCTTGAGTAATAAGCTACCAACTCAGCGCGTTGGCCATGAAAACTTCTTTACTTTGCCCTGTTCCTTTCCCCCAGAACAGGGCTAGTTCTCTCTTCCAAACTCCCACCTTCCATTCCAGTTGCAATAAAAACATTTACAAACCAGCTTTACACTGGATCGCTGCCCTGCCTGGGGGTACTTTTATCCGCAGTCGCACAGCAGCTGTCCAGGAAAACAATCTCACCTTGGCTTCTTGGAAAAAGACTTCTGCCTGAGCTCAAACTCTTCAATCCTCAGACCAAGAACTCCCTGTTTGAACTCGCCTCTCCCGCCCACCTATTCGTGATTATCTTTCCCAACATCTCCAGTGTTAACAATGTCGCGTATGCTTTTGTCTTGCTTTGCTTTTTCCTTCCTGCACTTCAGGGGACATCGGAAATTATTACTATGGCCAGGGTCACCCTATGAAGCCCCACAGGATCAGAATGACTCACAATCTCCTCCTGAACTATGGCCTTTACAGAAAAATGGAAATTTATGTAAGTTTAAAACATACTGATATGCATGTTTTATATCCTACACTTTGGGTGCAACTAAAGAACCAGATAGAAAACATAAAAAGCCCTGTAATGCCTCCAGAAAGCCATTAATTGTCCCCCACCACCATTAAATCCCGTCTTGGTTATCGGAAGCAAAGCGGGCTTCGCAAACAGCGGGATACTCTGTAGAAATGATTTACAATTTCATATTTGTTGCGTGCTCGTCAATATCGCTGTTAGCCATTTGCGACATAGTCATACTTAAGCAATAAAAGAGAAAACGGTTCTCATCCAGCCTAGCCTAATCTGTACAGGGTCCCTTTGTATCTCCCTGCTGTGATGTGGCCACTGGCAGGCCTGCCTCAGATTTCATCGGCACTGAAACAAGGGCCAATAGCAAAACATTAAAAGCCAGTGTTTTCCAAGTATTTCTGAATACTGCTCTGCAAACCAGCACTTTCTTTTTCGGCAGGCTTTCTCTGGCTGCCTAAGAGGCCTTCCTAAAAATGGAACTGCTGTTGTTGTCTTGTTTTAATACAGCTTTAGTTTCTTGGGGGGGGGGAGGATAAAAATCAATTGGTGGATTTCATTGAAATCAGTTTGATTTCAATAAAATATTGATGTTTATCGACCTTGTTTGAAATCAGTCAATCAGTCAAACAGACCTGGATTAGTGAGCTACCTGCTCTTAATTCAAGGACCCTTACCCTGTTCTCCCAGGTAGTTTCTTCAGTCTGTGGTAAATGACTGCAGGATGTGAGATTTTCAAGGCATTGGGTTACTGTTGCCACACGACAGTGAACTTCCCAACCAAGTGGGGGTTCGAACACGGGTCTCGTGACATGCCGTCCGCCATACCCCCCTGGCTGTACAGGAGAGGGTAGAAATGAAAATGGGGCTCTCCCGTTCACCCTCTTTTCTTCTGTGCTGTGTAGACTCTGGGGCAGGATTGGTGCTGGGAAGCCCGCTGGATAAGACCTGGGCTGCATTCAGAATCTGAGCTGTTACCGATATGTTTTTTTTTTTCTCCTTGATTGTCTCTCGCTGCAGCGACCCTACAAAGCTAGTGCGGAAGAAATGACCAAATACCACAGCGATGACTACATCAAGTTCCTGCGGTCGATTCGCCCCGATAATATGTCCGAGTACAGCAAGCAGATGCAGCGGTGTAAGCTCTGGCCTCTCACGGAATAACACAGGCCCTCGCGTCTGTGAGCCTCTGTGTTCTTGACCGAAAGGGCGCCCTCCTCCTCGTGCTCACCTTCGTTTTAGACTAGGAAGTTTAGAGTTTTGAGCACAAATACCATGTAAAGCAGGACAGCTGGGAGGATGACCCTCTGCCAGACTGAAGGACCTCTCTCAGCATCATGCGGGTGGACCTTTGTAACTGCATACCTGAAACAGTTAGGGGAGGTAATAGTTGCATGGGGGAATAAAGGCTGCATTCAGGCATAACAGCAGGCCGTGGTTGGGAGCTTCAGGGGCAGCAGGCTTGAAGCTGGAACGCGCCTTCCTCACCTTTGCCCTTTCTTTGCAGATGAGGGAAGCCGGGGAAATCTGCATTTGCCTCCAACTTGAAGTGGAGGTTTCTTCTCTCCATCCCTTCTGCACAGAAGGCAGAAGGGCCATATACAGGGGTTGCAACAGCTTCGCGTAGCTTACTCTTGCAATAGTAATTTTAAAAAAAAAATTTGCTACATGCAAACAGAGCCAGCGCATGTCAAGTGAAGCGCCTGAGATGACCTCCCGTAACCACGTGCCATTGCGCTGATTCCAGAGTAGGGTGACTTCTCCAGCGTTGTCTAGGTGTCAGGTCCTCAGCAGTGGTTCCCCCAGTCCCCTCTTTCTGTAGTGCTTTGGACCACTGTGGCTCGCTCAGAGCCATGCAGGTGAAAGGCCAGGTTGCCCCCGTCAGCCACATAGGCTACCTTTCGTCTGCTTTGACTTGTATTTCCTGCCTGGAGCAGAGAGTTGGACTTGATGGCCTTCGAGGCCCCCTTCCAGCTCCACGATTCTAGAATTCAGGTGGTCTTGGGAGGCATGGCGGGGATTCACGATCCTGGCCCTGGGTCTGGAGAGAGGCATTTCGATAGCTTGAGCTTTACCAGCTCTCATGAAAGCGCCCTATAATTCTGTTCAAAAACATTTCTCACTGTTATTTATTTAAACCGATGCTTTCAGTACCGTTTGGCTCCAGCAGGTGGCAGGTAGCATTCGTGACAATCCTCACACCATCACCCCTCCCCCCAGCCCCCTCGTGTATTGGATGGCACTAGTGCAAGGCTGGTTTTACATGTCCTGCACTGGTAGACATCCTGGACAAATACGATGTCCTGATTTGCAAACAGGCTGAGATTCTCTGTGCAATTCACCTGGCCTGTGCTGCCCGCCTCTCGATTATATTTTATTTTTATTTCGATTGACAGAAGTTGTTTACCGCCCGACTTAGTGAGCGACTGCTCTGGAGATAGGCACGTCAGCTCCCTGAGCTGTCACTCTGAAAAGAAAGAGTTGTGTTTTTTTCTCCCATTGCGTTCACAGTTTTGTATGCTTTTTATAAGAAAGTCACCCTTGTCATCCTCTCTCACCCTCCCGCCGAGTGCAGTAAGACCCTGCTTAGAGCTCAGGATATGTTCCAATAAAATGGGGTGTAAACTGGAACAACCCCAAATGTGGCAATATAACATTGCACCTTGAATCTGATGTTCTGGAGGCTCAGTTTACCTCCATCGTGGAGCAGATAAAGTGGGCTTTGTCTCCCAGTGGCCCAGTCTGCTTCCAGTACAGAGTGGGTGAACTGGGCTGTAGGTCTCCCAGCAGGCTGGTCGGCCTCCTCTAGAGAGCCTGAGCCCCCGTTGAGCACCACAAAATGGCTGCCCGAAGGATGCACGATATAATGAATCGGGACCTTATGGGGCCCGCATGATGCTGGCCACTGCTGTACTTGTTGCCTTTGGATGGACGTTGTTTTTTAAGGTTCTGGTGGCTCGGCCTCTATTTTCTGCTGAGTCTGTTTCTCCTCCTGGATTAAACTTTCTCCGGTCCATGTTTTCTTCTTGCTTTCTTTTTCAAGTCAACGTTGGAGAGGATTGCCCCGTGTTTGACGGCTTGTTTGAGTTTTGCCAGCTTTCTACAGGAGGTTCTGTCGGTGAGTAATCAGAAAGTGAAAAAAAAAAAGATTTGAAGAGTGAATTAATGGTAGTTTGATAAGGGAAAAGGCTGCCTTTTTAGAAGAAGGCGTGAATTTCACACCAGTGCAGTCTCCAGCATGTTTACTCAGGATAAAGGTCCATTGTGTTCAGTGGTCCTGAAGGAAGGAAAGCGTAGGAGTGCAGCCTTGTGTGTGTTTTGATTATCTTGTTCTTCACCCCTTGTTCCCTGTGGATAAATGAGAGGACAGGGGTCTTGCTTCTGCAACAGTCCGCAGACATTTTTAATTCATCTTACCATGATGAATTTGTAAATAACAGGAACAATGCTCAAAATGGTGAGCACTTGAAAGATCTAGGTCAGAAATGTAACTTCCATTTGTGTGTGTGTGTGTGTGTGTGTGTGTGTGTGTAAACCTGCATAAGAAGGCGTGAATTTCACACCAGTGCAGTCTCCAGCATGTTTACTCAGGATAAAGGTCCATTGTGTTCAGTGGTCCTGAAGGAAGGAAAGCGTAGGAGTGCAGCCTTGTGTGTGTTTTGATTATCTTGTTCTTCACCCCTTGTTCCCTGTGGATAAATGAGAGGACAGGGCTCTTGCAACAGTCCGCAGACATTTTTAATTCATCTTACCGTGAATGCAGTTTGTAAATAACAGGAACAATGCTCAAAATGGTAGAGCACTTGAAAGATCTAGTTCTGTTCAGGTCAGAAATGTAACTTCCGTGTGTGTGTGTGTGTTTGTGTGTGTGTGTGTGTGTGTGTAAAAACCTGCATTACAGCCCTAACCAGTGATGGTGCCTATATATGTCTGGATATACACATGCATGGAATAGTATAATAAAAATTCCCATGGATGTGTGTATGTTTGCGGCACATTACCTCACGGTTTTTGTTGTAAATCTCTTTGTGTGCGTGCTGAAATGTTTGGGCAAAAAAAAAAAAAGGTAAAATGCCACACGAGTGCAAATATTAGCTGCAGTCCTATTGGTTAGTGTGGTGAGGGATGTGTGTATGTTTGCGGCACATTACCTCATGTTTTTTGTAGTAAATCTTTTTGTATGCGTGCTGAAATGTTTGGGCAAAAAGAAAAAAAGTAAAATGCCACACGAGTGCAAAGATTAGCTGCAGTCCTGTTGGTTAGTGTAGTGAGTTACACAAGCGTAGGCTCACTGAATCAGTGTGGATTTGAGTCAACACTTTCATAAGGTCCATTGATTCAAATCAGCCTGCTCTCGCTGTGACTTCCCATGCCAAGCAGCATTGGCTGCTTTGTAAGAAGAAACAATTCGTATTCTTGGAAATGTAGGCTTGAAATCCGATTTCCGAAGCGCTTTGTGGGCTTTGAAAGAGGATATTGCCTTTTTTGCACTGGAAGTCAGAAGCGCTGGGAGTGGAATTTTGTAACCTTTTCGGAAATATTGATAGACCGAGTCCTGAACTCAGTAGTAGAGTTCGGATATCTAAGGCCATCAGGCAAAACGCGAGGTTCCTCGGCCAACGGCTTTGGTATGTTCAGTGCTGACTGTTTTATCTCTGTGTTGTTGATGTGAAATGTGCGTGACAGCCAGTGCTGTGAAACTCAACAAGCAGCAGACGGACATTGCGGTGAACTGGGCGGGAGGCTTGCATCACGCCAAGAAGTCAGAGGCCTCTGGGTTCTGTTATGTCAACGACATTGTCCTGGCCATCCTGGAGCTGCTCAAGTAGGTAGACCGAGCTGTCGGGCCCCGAACCCGCCTGGCTCTGGCAGAGCAAACAGGCCGTCGGGAATCTGACCTCTCTCTTCCCTCCGTAGGTACCACCAGCGAGTCTTGTATGTCGACATAGACATCCACCATGGCGATGGCGTGGAAGAGGCATTCTACACCACCGACCGCGTCATGACGGCGTCCTTTCATAAGTACGGCGAATACTTCCCTGGGACAGGAGATCTGCGGGTGAGAACGGAGGGTTTGCCCACTCTTGCCAGCTCCTTTGCTGGTAGAATTTTGTGACATCGCCCACGCTGGCCTCCTTTGAGTCGGGGCCTGTCTTGAAGGAGGAGCACGTAACCCATTCTAGCTCCAGAGTTTGGGGAGAGGTTTTCTTGAGCGAGGCATGTCTCCATGGGTTGGCTGGGAAAGTCAAAGCCAAGCTGTGATGGGCTGGCTGTCCTGCGGGCTGCAAGGCCTTGACTTACCTTCGGACCTTAGCCAGTCCTTAAACTCAGCCAGCGTCTGAAGGTGGCCCTGATGCGTCTTCCGCTGTGTCTCCTTCTCCCTTCCAGGACATTGGTGCAGGCAAAGGGAAATATTATGCCGTCAACTACCCCCTCAGGGATGGGATCGACGATGAGTCCTACGAAGCCATCTTCAAGCCAGTAAGCTTGTCCCTCCTCTTGTTGTGTCCCGCTGGGGCCCCTCGTCCTTTGTCCCGCTGTTCGTCCGCTGGCGAGGCAGCCTTGTCTTTGCTCCCGAAGGGAAGGGCCTGCCTTTCTGCTCTCGTTGGTCAGTTTCTTGTCATTTCATAGTGAAGGCGAGGAGGAGCTGCAGTCCTCCGTTCTAACTTGGAGGTGCAGCGACCCTCTCTGCGCCTGCGCTGAGCTTCCGAGGGCTAGGAAAAAAATACTGCTGGCTGGCTGTCCTCTTTGCCTCTCTGCACCGCCGTGAGCCCCTACTCCAGCTCCAAAATTTTGGGGCACAGGGTCACCCCCTCACAACTCCCAGAAACACAGCACATCATCATGCCCCAAGACTGCCCTTCCATACGTTCCTGGGAATACACCAGTCTGAACACAGGGAAGCGTCTTTCTGAGCAAACATGCAGAGGCTGGCGACAGGGAAGATCGGTCCCCAGTCGGTCAGGCTCTGTCATTTCTGTTGAGGACCCCCCTCCCCCGCCTCCGATGTGTTTGACGGGATGCTTCCTTGCCCTGATCAGGTGATGTCGAAAGTGATGGAGACCTTCCAGCCGAGCGCAGTTGTGTTGCAGTGCGGCTCCGATTCCTTGTCTGGGGACCGGTTGGGTTGCTTCAACCTGACCATTAAAGGTAAGAGGGGTTTGCAACAGATGGACCAGGCATGAGTTTATTTACTGGCTCTAGCCAAGGTGCTTGGGCTCTCTTAGGTTCGAAAAGCATCCTGATGGGTCCATGTTTTGTCTCTCGCGCTCCTGGACAGAGCCCGGAGTTAATTTCTGTGCAGCTTTGCTGGTGTCTCCAGACTGCTGAGTAGCCCAGCGTGGTCGTGGCATCTGGCTGTGGAGCCGGAGGTCGGGAGTTTGATTCCCCCTCTTATGCCTCCTTGACTGGGGCTGGACTGGATGACCCACAGGGTCCCTTCCAGCACTGCAGTTCAGAGATGATGACGATGATGTCTTGAGATGTGGGGAGGGGGAGATGCTTGTGTCTTGGGCAGAGGGGCTCCAGCCTGTTCTGCCCGTTCGCGGCCCTTCCCGCCTGCTCTCCCGGGAAGATGACCCCCTTTCCTCTGTTCCTTTTCCCTTTGCCCAGGTCACGCAAAATGCGTAGAGTTCATCAAAAGCTTTAACCTGCCCATGCTGATGCTCGGAGGGGGCGGCTACACAATCCGCAACGTAGCAAGGTGCTGGACCTACGAGACGGCTGTGGCGCTGAACACGGAGATCCCGAATGGTAAAAACATTGTGGGTTGCTCATAGTGGCCTTTTGGGACACTTAAACCACGGCCCCGATCGAGGGCTTTTGAGGTATGGGTCGGTCCCTCTTGTCCCTCTCTGGTGCATATTGAGGGCTGAGCTGGGACTGAAACTTGGGTGGATTTCATTTAAATCGAATTGATTTGAGTTACAATTCAAATGTAAAAAATAGATGTATTTTTGACAATTTGAATGTTAAAAAAACCACTTTTTAACATTAAATCATGGTTTCAATTAGTTTGATATGAGGTGAAGGATGAGAGGCCTGAGGTTGTAGGTTAGGCGAGAGGTCAAAGGCTGTGGAGCCTTCGAGAAGGTGAGCTGTTTAATCAAGTGGCAGTGGGCTATCATGAGGTTGGAGCTGTTTATACGTTTGATGTGAAACTCCACTCCTCTAAAACCCATTGGTTTTGCATTCTGAACAAAACATCCATGTGAAATGAATTTGCATGCATTTCCTGCTCTCTTAGAGCCACCCCCTGCCCTTGAAGGGCTCGGTGGCCGATACAGGCTTTCCTTACGTTTGTCTGCTTTCTGCCCCATCCCCCCGACTCTTCCGCAGAGCTTCCGTACAACGATTATTTTGAATACTTTGGGCCCGACTTCAAGCTCCACATCAGCCCTTCCAACATGACAAACCAGAATACCAATGAATATCTGGAGAAGATTAAGTAAGTCTGCCTTGTCTGCTGAGCCGGGGTGGGGGCTGTGGGCCCTTCTGGTGGGGGCGAGGTCCTGTCTTCAGCGGACCCTTCCGACGTGGGGCCTCTGTGGCTGCTTTCCGACAGGCAGCGCCTTTTTGAGAACCTGCGGATGCTTCCCCACACGCCTGGGGTCCAGATGCAGCCGATCCCGGAGGATGCTGTGCCGGAGGACAGCGGCGACGAGGACGAAGAGGATCCCGACAAGCGGATTTCCAGTGAGTACCGGAGAACCTCCTGGGGGTTGGATGAGGACACGTATTACGTGGCGGCCCTGACAGCAGCCAGGGATTTCTTGCTGCAACCTTCAGACAGAGAATCCCAGAGTTCCTGAATGCTGGTCTTTGGCCGAGTAAGCTTGTTTTCAAAGTTATAAATGGTTTTAATCACTCTGTGTATTTTAATTACTATTGTAGTGTGGTTTTAAATGTATAATTGACTGTGTGTTTTTTTTTAAAACACCGAACCACCCTCATTGGAAGAAAACAGTAATCATCTTGCTGGATAGCTCAGTGGTTTAGGCATATGGCTGTGGAGCCAGAAGGTGGGAGTTCGGTTCTGCACTGTACCCCCTTTGAGAGGGGCTGGACTCCGTGATCCAGAGGGTCCCTTCCAATTTTGCAATTCCAAAGTTGTTGTTATGTAGTCAGTTCTGGCTCATGGCAGCTCTTTCCAGGGTTTTCTAGGTAGAGAATACTCAGAAGTGGCTGACCACTCCTTTCTTCTGGAGGCAACTCTGGGACTCGTGTGCCTGTGTTTTTTTTTAAAACACCGAACCACCCTCATTGGGAGAAAACAGTAATCATCTTGCTGGATAGCTCAGTGGTTTAGGCATATGGCTGTGGAGCCAGAAGGTGGGAGTTCGGTTCTGCACTGTACCCCCTTTGAGAGGGGCTGGACTCCGTGATCCAGAGGGTCCCTTCCAATTTTGCAATTCCAAAGTTGTTGTTATGTAGTCAGTTCTGGCTCATTGGCTGTAAAGGAGATGAATACAGGAACAAACATCACCCCCAGCCCTGTTTGTTTCTTTCTTTATTTATTATACTTATACCCTGCTCATCTAGTCATAGACTACTCTGGGCCGCTGACAGCAAGTAAATAAAACAATTTAAAAGTAACTGTGATTTACAGCAACAATAAACAACCATTCAAGATGGAAAAGAAAGAGAAAAAGTAAATCAAGTAGTGCCTGGAGGGGAGGCATGCCTAAACAGCCAGGTTTTCAACTGACTTTTAAAAATACCCAGCGAGGGGGCCATACAGATCTCTGTAGGGAGGTTATTCCAAAGATGAGGAGCCACTGCCGAGAAGGCCTGGTTTCTTGTTTTTTTCCTTCCTTTTCTAAGTGGAAGGACAGATTTGAGCAGAGCTTGGAAACCTTTGGAGTATTAGTGTCAGTATCTCCTAGCTGACATGGTTGGCTGGGGGATTTTGGAAGTTGTAGTCCAGTTGCCACCCCCGCCCCACCCTGAACTGTGAAATCATATGGCCCACCTATTTTCAGATTTTCTTCTGAACAGCCATTCAGGTTTTCTCCTCTGTTTTGGAGACCCGTTCCCTCTCCCTTCCCCAAACCAGAAACCCAGCACAACTAACTGACATGCCTTTTCTTTCCTACCCCTCACCCAAGTCCGCTCGTCAGACAAGAGAATCGCCTGCGATGAGGAGTTCTCCGACTCCGAGGATGAAGGGGAAGGTGGGCGCAAGAACGTGGCCAATTTCAAGAAGGCAAAACGGGCAAAAACCGAGGAGGAGGAGAAAGAGGAAGAGAAGAAAGGTGAACGGGGCGGAAGGACTGAAAACAAACCCCTGCTAATATGCTTCTTGTTTTGCAGGGACCGAAACTTCATTTTAGACTATAATGAAGTTTACTGAATTCCCACCCAGCATGAGATTCTGGCCGCATTTTGAAGTATAACAGTGATATTAATCATTTTAAGCTTAATTCATAATTGCTAGCTTAACCAGTTTGCATACCAAGCACCAAATCCCACTGGCAATCGCCCGCCACCTCTGTACCGGAGATTTGAGCGGCCTCTGTGGGTCTCTCTGCAGCCATAAAAGAAAAACATGAGCATATTAAAAGGGAGGGGGGTTAATTTTTCCCAATGACGCCTTCTGCCGTGGAATCTTTTTAACTAGGAGACGTGGTGTCATGTGTTCCCTTCTAGATGTGAAGGAGGAAGAGAAGGCAAAAGAAGACACACCAGAGCCCAAAGGGTGAGTCTTTTTTCTCAGCTGATGGCCATTGGCTTGTGGACCCTTCTTGGCTCATGTGTTTTAGCCCCTCAGGAGCGAGGTTTCGTGGCCCGGCTCCATGCCATTTCAGTAAATCGCTTAGCCAGCAGGTCTGCCTGAGCATGCCACGCTCCCTGGGCAAGCGTTGCCCTACGCCCAGGCTGTTTCTGCAGAGTTAGGGAGGTGACGGCTCCAGCAAGAGGAGCGAGGCTTCGGGTTTTGGGGTGACTTTAAGAGCAGCAGCAGAAAAATTCTCTCATGAGAGCAGAACCTCCCTGGAAGTTCTCCTGTGCAAGGAGCTGCTGTTGCAAGAAAGCGGGCCAATAAGGGAGGTGGCAGGAATCCAGGATTTAGAAATCCAGTCTGTGCCTTTGGACGGGTGGCGTCAACCACGGGTGGCGTCAACTGCCTCCGCCACCCACTCACCCCGGTTTATTTATCCCACAGGATAAAAGAAGAAACGAAAACGACCTAAGAAGCTGGTAGCCGGGCCCTCGCTCAGTCCCCAGTTCTCTGCTTTCGACTTCTCTGGCACGCTCCTGTTTCACAAGATTTGTATTTTATGTTTCGGTAGATCTTTTCAGACATGTGGGACTTGAGACCGGGACGGTATTCCCGGATGT